TTTGGTCTAAGGACAATCTTAATTTGACTCCCGGACATCAAATTCCCTTATATATTCTTCACTCATATATTAATTCAAATATATTCACATACAATCAGTTTATATTTATAAATGTCTCGCTTATGAGGAATACGTTCAAGGCCATCACTGGTGTTGTAGGTTCCACTTCCCAACCCCCCTTTTTTTATGAAGCCTTTGTTAATAAATGAAAAATAAGAACTGATTATGTAATATTTAAAACAAGCCCCTATTTGACAAAATCTCTATGGAGCAGAAGATTTAAGTGGTTGGAAGTGTCTGTTATTGGTTCAGGATCCAACTTCCTGTTGACCAAAGAAAGCTACCATTGTATTGCATCCGTTACGGATGTGAAAAGTAACAATACTTGCTTGTTTACGTGCACAGGTCACCGGGGTGTAGTTATCTTGTCAGTTAACCAAAGTAGAGAAACAGAGAAGGTTTACAAAATGATTCTCTCTCAAGTTAACCTTGCATTATGTTTGGGTAAGTCTATTTTTTTCTTTATACAGAAAAAATATATTTATTATGTTGTTTAGTGTGCTTCTGAATATATCAAAACGTGATTTTGAGTGTGGTTGGCTTTGATTTAATTGTTTTGGATTATTATTTTTTTTAATTTTTGGTTTTCATATGTTTTTTTTTATCTTTTTGGGGGGAAGAGGAGTATTTTTAAAGATCTTTTACCCCCCCCCCCCCACCACCACCACCAAATATTGGTCGATCTACCCTGATCCATTTATTTCAACTACTTTGTTGCATACTGTACTTTAATGAAATAGTATTTAATAAATCTTCACTGCTTAAGCCTAAGGAAATTTTAAGTAGAAAATATTAAGTTTAAATTTTGTTTGTTTTTAGTTATTTCTTATCATATGATTTTAGAAAAAAAGTAAACAGCCAAGTTTGGTTAAAACTGTTTCTCTTAGGGGTGATTTTGTTGACGTGGCCTGCAACTTTGCATGGATGTAGACACACAAATCGCAAACGCGAGGACCGGGGCTTAAAAGAATGTCTGTCCCACTGGAACATCCTAACCGATACCAACGTCGTTGACCTACAGAAGACATTGTTTGATGCAAACTTAACCCACGTCTGTCGGTGAGTATTCTTTAATGTAAAATAAATGACTCGAGGGATTCTTGTCTGGTTTCTGACTAAATGAAATATTCAAAGTGTATTTGCTCATATGTCGTATATATTTAGATGTAAAGGACTTAAAAGATTATATTTTTCTTTCCTTCTCTAAATTGTACAACTTTGAGTACAAATGATAGGCATAGTTTGATATCTAGCAGGGACTATATTTTTGGCAGAATAGCGGCGCATAAAAATATCTCCTATTCTGCATCTTAAAATTACTACAAAACATTGATTTTGGTTAATTTTTTAAAACAATTAAAGACTGAATGAAATTTTCTGAAGTGACTAAATTTAATTACTATGGACTAATGTTTTAAAATATATAAAATAAATTCAATTTCTAAACAAATTACAGTCTTATTAGCTTTTGAAAGCTTCCGATCTAAGAAAAGATTTGAGCATAAAATCAGTAAAAAGTGTTTTTACTCTCATACTAAGCGGTCAAAACTTTTTGTTTTTCTTTTGTATAACTTTGTAACTTGATATGACTACTTTATCATATGTGAAAATAAGAAAAATTTAAATATATGGAGAATATCAAAATAACTACTATTCCCTAAAAATTTAATTAAAATGGAGGAAATTCGGATTAACCAATATCTATTTTAGTTGTATTTTTTATCTTAATTTGGTAGTATCATCTGATAGACCTTATATGGTGAAATCTTTCTATGCAAAAAGAAAAACATTTAATCTTTTAAAATAAATGAAGGCATCAAATGATTGGCAAAAGTAATTTCTTATTCTTGATGTCAAGGAAAAAGATGATGACCTTGACCTGACCTTGCACCTAAAACAAAACGGTCAAATTTAATCCCATTGATACCAGCACTTAATGATATCGTCATCTTAAATCTGTGAAATTTTCAATAATTTTTAAATACAATAAATATGAGAAGAATCTCTCCTTATATTGAGGAGTATGTATCTGTTTGTTTGTTTGTTTTAAGAGGGTTTTGGTCGTCAACTATCTCTGTCATACGTTCATAGGAATCGCTATTCGTTGATGCCAGACGTCAAATTATCCCCCCTTTCCAACCAACCCCCCCCCCCCCTTTACGTTAGCGTTAAATTCGGCGTGCTTTCATTAATGTTGTAACTCAAGTTTAGATCTCTAAATGTAAATTATTACAGTAATTTAATATCTTTAAAATTATTTATTGTTACTTTAATTTATTAAGAACTAATGCAATAGACTCGGCTGAGCAGTGTGTTACTACCGTGCCAGTGGATAAGTGTCCATCTGTTCTTCTGTTCTGGCACCATCTCATCGGTCCAGTTAATCAGGCCTGCGAAAACACCAAAGGTGACTAAACCACGTCAAATTGAAAGCTTGACACTCGATCTAATTAAAAGCTAGCTTTAATGTTAAAGTAAATAAGGCAAAGATTTAACTAAAGTTTCTCTGTTTTCTGCTAACAGCTAGATGCAACGATCGTTAAGGTGATTTTAATGTCTTTCCAGATTTTACGAATTCGTTAGCGTGCATTGACAAAAAAAGACTGACATTATGTCAAGGCATAACCCACAGTATAGGTCCTTACAGTAGAAGAAGAAGGGACAACGAGAGAAACTGCGAGTAAGAAATTAAGGTTCATTGATCCTCTAATAAGAGGGATAACTCTCACTGGGATTTATTTCTAAATTCCCTTAATATTGTCTAGTTTAAAAAGGCGATTTCTACAAATTTTGCACCGCAAGGTATGCTGAAATTTTTGAAATAAATTTCTTTTGCAAAGTCTTTATCATTGTACATATGAATAACCTGGGGATTGGTGAACTTTAACAACTCCGTTTGAGATTCGTAATTTTTCTCTTCCGTGTCATTGACTTTTTTACAACAGTACTCTTAATAATATTTTCAGGGCCATATCGAGCTATCAAACTTGTATGAATCAGATATTGCAGAAAGACCCTGGCTGCGAAGATGATGCTGTAAAACCGCTTGTAAACGCCGTGGGCCTCCATCTTCTTCATCTCGGAGTGTATTACGAGTGTGCCCAAGGTATATAGGAAAAAAGAGAATGTGACAGTGAAAAAAATCTCGATTATAATAGTTTATAATATGCTTCCGGGATCCCTTTATAGTGCACACTGTGCACTGACTAACATCGGTGCAATGTCAAATCTTTTCTACATTTGCATACATGTACTTAATCCACGTAATTAGCTTTAATTGTTGGTATATTAATTCATAATTTTTTTTATCTTGCAGATTACCCTTTCACTTTACCACCAGAAGATACTTTAAAGGGTACGTTAACTTAGAGATATAATGTATCTTCACCTGTACATATTTAACTGTCAAACGTGTGGCATGTAACGTATGGATTTCAACAATTATGAAATCACGGTTACAACTGACAATTATGGAATCAGTTAAAAACTGTTAATTACGGAATCTGATTTCACATTTGATCAGACACCTCTGTTGATGTCCTCTGGAACTATAGAAGGGGGGGGGGCATAAAACAATAATTAACACACTTAACAAAAGTGGAACGGATTAAAACGATTGAGAAAAGCTTTGTCAATTCTCCGCAGCATTGTATTGGACAGGGGTAAGGGTATATTCCTGGAAATCTTCAATGGTTGGTCTCTAAGATTTATCTTTTGGATCAGGCAGAATAATCTTATAATAAGTATTAGAAGAGACTATATTACTGACATCAAACATTTGAAGTACTTTATGACACTGCAATCATTTCTTCTTTATAGGCCTCCCTTACGACACACCACTGGGATTTGGATCGGATTTCTTTGACTGAGGTTTTCCCATTCACGATCTCATCAGACATTACGGAGCCATACTTCCAGATTATATGGCTTCCCATACAGAAGAGCCGCCATCTGTCGCCAGGAAAAACTAACTTATCGATCTGTCAACCATTTGAACTATGGTATTCATTCACAACAAATGAGGGCAATCAATTTGCGAAAGATACCAATCTATCTGCAGCATGGATTGAAAGAAACTTTTTTTTCATCTTTTAAACATTTTAATGTTGTATACATTGTATAATTTTGACTAGGTATGATAAACATAAACAATTATTATAACATATATTATAAATCAATGAAAGCATTATGACCTTTACAAAGAACACACAGTCATACAGCATAACAGGAAAAAATACTTGTATAACTGCTCAGTAAGAAAAACCCATACTGGGTTGTACTTAGTAGTGAATGCATAAGAGAAAATCAATGAAGATGTCCTGTTAAATATACTCTTGTTCAACAAACATGCAGATTCAAAAATTTAAAAAAAAAAATGAACAGTTCAAATTGCATTCAGAATATTGCACAAAGACAATAATATCATTTTACAGCAAAGTCATAATCTTTGGTTGAGAATAAAAGCAGTTCCGTGCGTAGTACCTTAACATGAATTAATGAACTATTATGAATGCAAGTATTCTTTTTAATCAAATCTACATAACATAATTGTATAAAAAATCTACACTGTAATGAAAAGCATTTTCTAGTTAAATGTTTAAGTTTGCAAGCATTACATATGTAAAATATGTGGCAAATTTTGGCACAAAAACACAATCACTTTAATATCAATCTATGATAAATAATGCTGCTTCCAAAAAAATATTTATATTAAATTTTTTAATTGTTGCATGACTTTCAAACTAGTGCTTGGTATCATAAACTGCAAACAACTTAGAAATGCTTTAGGGTTTGATTTGTACAAATTAACAAACCAAGGCACAAACTTTTGTAGAGTACTGTACAAAGTATAAATATAATAAGCAAGCACTTCCACATTTACATATCGTCTAATACAGTACACATGTATTTGGAATGGTTGTCAATGATTTTTGTGCCAAGCCAACTAGTCTGTTCCATTTTTTTGTGGCAAAATGGATCCAATTTTGTATTCTCATGACACTAATAAATAATCCTCTGTAATAGATGCCTTTCTGTTTTCCTCCTCTTTCTTATGAACTGGATCCGGGGATGATTTTATCCTTGTCCAGACTCAACAATCATTTTGTCTTAAGAGAGCCCCATGGCTTTGGGCAGGGGGGGAGGGGAGCTTGACTTTTGTGTCCTCAGTTGACCTACTTTCTGACCTGCAATCCTTGGAAGCCATGGGTAGACAGTTGAATCTCTTCGAATGCATGTCGACCAACTTCACCTATAAAACAAAGTACCAGGTATAAAGGCACTCTCATAAATTCTCCTTCTACAAGCATATATATTAAGCAATAAAACATCAGGTGAGGTTCTTACACCTCACTTGATCTATGACAGAAATTCTTTTGCAAAAGACCGTACAAGTTTGTGTCCTTGACCATTCTGTGATAAATGAGGTCAGTGCTTACCAAAAGAGAAGAGGGCTTGTTTGGACCTGACCCTGACCACCGTAGAGGTGTCCGTCTGACAGAGATAGGAAAGCTGTGCTATACTCTCTGATGCCTACAACATTGAAATGTACAACAAAATTAGTCCAATGTCAGATAGCAGTGCAATTTAACATAAAGAAGCACAAAAAGATGTTATATACAAATGTATTAAAATTATTCTCCTATTTCCAAACATGATATCCATACTGTAGATCAGCGAATTTTTGTGACGCCATATTTTTGCAAGAGAGTTATTTGGTATTTATAATCCAGAAATAATCTTAAATAGTACAAATATATATACAAATGAAAATTTCTCTCCTGATTTGGTATCAACGCATAAATAAAGTTCTCTCAAATAAAAAGTGATTCACAGTAACTGTGATAACAAAACAATATTCTGAAAGTATTTTGGACTGATATTGTATACTGTAGATTATTTTATGCGAGAACTTAATTTAGCAAAATGACTCGCCCATGTCAAATCGTGAGAACAAATTCAGCGATAAGATGTTTGATCCCGAGTATTTACATGCTACTCAGCAATATAATAATAAAAGTGGGTAATTCAATTTTTGCAACTGTTGCTTCTCACAAAATTCTGCAGAAATAAATTCCTCATGATTAATTAGGAATCTACAGTATGACCTACCTCTAGTTTGCCCAGAGCTTCACAGGCTCCAGCCCTGATCTCTGGTGTCTTGTCCTCCAAGCCCTCCACAAATACCAGTAATGCCTACAAAACAGAGGGACCAATATCTAGAAACATGACATCATTTCAAACATTAAAAGGATTTACACGCAATCTTTCAATGAGCAGTAAACTTTCTTATTCGATAAGAAATTAAGAATCATAAAAAAGCATTATTGGTCATGACACATCAGGTCTAGTTACCTTGTCTCTGAACTCCTTTGTTTTTGCGATGTCTTCTAAGTAGGACTCTGCAAATCAATAAAGTGTGACACTGATTACTTCCGAATGACATTAGTCAGTCAATATATACGCCTACGACCAAGTCTGGGCACATCAATGACCACAGAGAGAGAATTCATTAACCACTTGGTAATAGTAAGATTACACACATCACAGATATGGACATCATCATTTTCTTAATAGAAATATTCATATTCCATGTACTAGCTGGTGTACAATATTGTATTATTTTGCAATATTACTACCAGTAACACATTTACACAAATTTAGAGATCTTCCGATTATTTCCCTTTGAAGTGTAATTCCAGAATTTCCTTTGAAGCAGGTTACTCCAATTAGAACATAGTCTTTTCCATTATCAATACCAGTCAAACCTCTATATATTTAAATTGGCAGGACTGATAGAAACCTTACGGACCCTTTAAAGGTTTGAAATTTTAATTACAAGATTCAAATTTTCAATACAATGTGGACCACTAGCTAACTTCAACCATAATCCTGTATAATCAAGATCTAGTCGTTTGAGACACTGAAGATCAACTATATACACGCAAATCCAAATATCTCAAAATTTGTAGGGCTATAATATATTCGAGATATCAGAAGGTTCAATATCAAAGATGAAACTTAAGTATTTTGTAGAGAGGCACTGCCAAGCGACTTTGGCATATCCAAGTATTTGACACAACAGTGATCAAGATGCCATAGTTCAACATTATGCATTTCTTACCTACTGTCCTGGCCACCTCATTACTGCCACTGATCAACAGAGCCCCCATTACTTTGAGGCATGGTGCAGGGGGAAAGCTTCCTTTGAGGGACATCACACACTTAATTATACTCTCTGTTTTACCAGAGCAGAGTTTTTCAATCATTTGTACTAAAATAAATAAAGGTTTTCATTAAAACACACATGGCATACATATTCTCCATGTTTTTATCCAGAAAAAAAAGGAATTTGATCAAGCATGTATGAATTTTCATAAAAATTGTGAAGGATTCTTACATTCTGCAGCAACAGCATCTACATTTTGTAAGCCTCCCTCATCTTTGAAATACTGCAGAAACTGGTGAAGCGTGACTATGCATGTGGCCTTGACCTTCTCTGGGTCATAGCTGGGAACATCTAAGATTCTCATCACCAAATGTCTCAACACTAGCAATGAAAAATAAAGGTACACTTCAAAAATGCTATCACAAGAAAATAATTGGTCCATTTATTAGAGTCAATATAAGAAATAATCAGGATGTCTAAGAAATCTGGATTTTTAATAATTTATACAAACCTTTCTTAGGATCCCTGCTGTATTTACTCTGAAGTTGTGCTCCATACTTTTGTTCGAAGGCACCTACAAGTTTCTCTGGGTGAATATAGAGAACATTTGTGTCTGTACACCTCACCCAGAATTCACGTAAACTTTTATCATCACTGAGCTCTGCCATAACTGTCAAATTAATAAAAATCAAAATTAAATGATCTCATTCTTTTCTTAATTTAAAAACAATGCAGTATAATTCACAGGTAATATGTGGAATCTTCACTTACTTGCATGAAGATTAATATCAGATGACTGTGAGATCTTTATTAAATGTTCTATAATCTCAGCTTGCTTCTGTAGTCTGTCCAGAGCATAAATCTCCCTGCATTTTAGGGGTCCAAAACTTCCTAAACTCTACAACATTATAAACAAAGACTTTTTAAATTCAAAACTAGAGAAAATTTTATCACTGTTACAGAAAGAGTTATTCCCCTTTAAATGCAATTTTGTAGTTCTATTAAATATTTGCCATGGATTGTTAAAAACAAATTCTGTCCAACATCTTTTGAGCATTTTATATTAAAATATAGCATATACAGTATTTTATTGTCCAATAGATCAACTTGGTTTGTACCTCCAGCAGTCTTTCACAATAAACCAGATGAAACACAAGGGCTTGATCCACATGTTCATTTCCAGTGCTGGGTGGAAGAGGACTTGAACCTTCACTGGAACCCAGGTTAGTGTCCTCCGACAACCGCTTGGCCAGTGACTCAATGCCGGAATCTGCAGTCTTAGCTGTAGACTCAGGACTAGACATCACATTGTCAAAAATTGTAGATTCCCTAAAACAGAATTTATTTCCTGTCATGTAAATGAAGACAGGAGTTTTCTAAGCATCACATTAATATTAGCGCATTCAGTATGCACATTCATCACACAAATGGGAAATTATATTTTGGTGATAATCAAGAATTGCCAGACCACTCACAGCATGCAATGTACTAAATATGAATCCCTCTAAAATATGTAAAATACAAGGAAAGTGAAAGTAATTTTGGAATAACTACTTACTGACTTGTCTCCCCTTCCTCTGTCACCTCAGTATCCAGGAAATCGAAAGCACCGAGGGCATCTTGTACAGACACACATATACTGCCTGTCCGAGAACTGCACCTAGACTCTTTCTGTAATCAGAAAATAGAAACATCATGGGTCCTGCCAAGACTCTGCGATGTAAAAATGATAGCATATGTAAATGATGCAACTTCAGATATTTTAGTCTTACTTAAAAACATGATTTTATATCTTTTACTTGAAAAATTGCCAAAAGACCTTCAATTTATTCATTTCACATGTACACTCTCTGAATAAAAATCAAGGACTGGAATGAAATCATAGATTTTTTTTATTCTTAATATCATACTTACTCGAAGAACTTGTTCCAACATGACCACCACATCTTCTAACTTCTCCAGCTCTCTATATTGCCCATGGTAATCCTCCAGACTTGCACTCAAACTATTCAGAGCATCCTCAATATGTATGGGCTCATCCTTAGTCAATGTAATTCCATGTCCCATAGCCACATTAAAGTGCATATTTCCATAAGTATCATGAGAGCCACTAGACAGAAACTGTGGAATTCTGCTGGGGGTGGGGGAGGTTCCCAACCCCGAGTTTAAGTTTGGTTGCGACACAGTATATCTCTGAGGAATCTGTTGCCGTGGGGCAACAAGTTTTGAAGTCACTGGAGGAGAATGGGTATTCATGAATTGTGGGGAAGCACCAGGCAAGTACAGGACATTTGATTGGCTGGATAAATGGTTTCCATAGTGATTGGGTGAGGTGTGTGCAGTAGGAGGAGCTGAAGTTCTGAGGATGAAATTATCGTCTTTTGTTTGTGTCAGACTGACAGGGTTAGAATATCTTCTCTCAGGCCCAAGGAAGTCACTCTGTGTCTGTAATAATTAAATAGATCAATAGATAAGTGGATTTTGGTTTACCATTTCCTCCAATTTAAACTTTATTCAAAAGAAGTGATACTGGAACACAATTCTAAAAACATTTTAAAAGTAACAAGTCAGTTTGATTGATGTCCTGTTAACACATACCAGTTCTCCATTAAGTGCCATAACAGACACAGGTCGCCTTCTAGGTGCGCTCGGCTGCCGAAGAGGAACATCGAAATAAGGCATTGTCTCCTCCACACCATCCAAAGGGCTGCAAGTAAAAGTCAATCTACCAATGAGCCCAAACAAGATACACAAAGAGCTTTAATTTTGGTTGCAAGCTAGTGTTGTTTACTTTCTTTCTTTTAAATTTATTAATATATAAATGTACATAATCATTTAAACTTGAACTCCAAGTTTGAAGAGGTCAGAGTTCTAAATATTGACTGCATCACATATTTATATCCCAATAATTATAACACTGAGATTGAGCCAGCCATTCGAGTACTTATACTTGCAGAAAATTATAACACCGAGTTTGAGCGAGCCATTTGTGTACTTACTTCCAGATAATTATATACTGAGTTTGAGTGAGTCATTTGTGTACTTCCAGATAATTATAATACTGAGTTTGAGTGAGCCATTTGTGTACTTCCAGATAATTATAACACTGAGTTTGAGCGAGCCATTTGTGTACTTCCAGATAATTATAACTCTAAGCTTGAGTGAGTTATTTGTGTACTTACTTCCAGATAATTATAACACTGATTTTGAGCGAGTCATTTATGTACTTATTTCCAAATAATTATAACACTGAGTTTGAGTGAGCCATCTGAGTTTTTACTTCCAGATAATTATATCAGTGAGTTCGAGCGAGTCATTTGGGTACTTACTTCCAGATAATTATAACACTGAGTTTGAGCGAGCCATTTGTGTTAATGCTGACCGTCATCAGCTGTGGATTGGCAGAAAACAAATCCTTGGTTTCACATTTCTTCTGACCAAGCGTCACTGACTTGAGCAGCCTTAACTCAATGCCCTGAAATCATCAGTTACACATTTAAAAAAAGATCACATAAACTTTCATTTTTTGTAGACTTAGAAAAAGCCTTTTCATCATTTTAATTTTTTTGTACTTGCATGATAACAACCTGCTGAAAAAATAATAGCATCCATATTATCTATGTTCATTAATATTGATGTCATTGGTGCTTTGATTGGTGTATGGGGGGGGGGGGGGGGGGAGATGACGTATATACAGTCCCTGAAACGTTCTACTTTCCCACTTGAACGGTGAGCGAACGCTGAACGAACGCTGAACGAACGCAGAGCGAACGGTGAGTGAACGATGTGTGAACGCTGAACGCAACTTGGTGAATGATGTGTGAACGCTGAACGGTGAGTGAACGCAGAACGCGAACGGAGCGCAAACGCGAACGCAAAGTGAACGGTGAACGAACGGTGAACGCAAGATGAACGATATATTCGGAATGCCTCTGATCTTTTCCTTTCATTGAAACTATTTTATTGTATTATAATGTTAGGTGCCAAAAAAAAAAAATGAATAAATAATAAATAAGTAAACCAATAAATGAATGAATAAATAAGTTTATAAAATAAATTCTCCAAAATTGTCCTAAGAAAGACGATGCATGCACAGTAAGATTTTAATCACACGATTTTTATCGCATTAAAGCATTGTAATTGTTGCCGAACGCTGAAGTATAAAAGATGTCTTTTTTTTTTTAGTTGGAAAATAAAAATGTTTAATCTTATTTGATAACAAATCAGAGAAAACTTCGGACTTACACAATGAATTAAAGCGGTTGTAATATCCATTCATATATCTCCGTGTCAAGGCGATTTCGTGAAAAGTAATGAAAAAAAATTAATTACAAAGGTCAGTGGACGTTTTGCATTTATACGCTCGTATTTTAAATGTTTAATACAATAATATATTGTGTCATTTCTATTTTTCATGATGATTTATTGAGCAGATTTCTACATGTATCTGTAGATGGCCGTGATTATACTCGGACAAGATAATACAAAGATGCATATTCATATTATATGTTATAAATTCAATTTTCAGAACTTGATATTTAAGTAATATGCTGTTATAGTGTTTATTAAACAGACAAATGAGAGAGAGAGAGAGAGAGAGAGAGAGAGAGAGATTCCGTTTTAGCCCCCCCCTCCTTTCAGGCTTCACTAAATGTTTGTACCTATATCAAACAAAAACTCTGAATTTTTTTTTTCTAAATATATCAGACAGTGAAAGTAACTTTTTTTTAATCAACAAATCATATCCATTTGTTTGACAGTCATACTCGTTTTTATTTTCCTGCGTCAAGTTCACACGAAGTCCACGTGCTTGTGCTGTCAATCAAAATCATTCGACACTGTGCAGGTGTGAAAGTTTCGTCACATCGAAGGCGAAGTGCGAGTATTTCCAACAAGTTATAACATTTATTTTTATCATTTCTAGATTTGATTCCAACATTTAAATAATAAATGAATAAGATACATTGGGCATTAACACTTGAATATGAAACATACTCTCTGCCAATTTCAAATACCACCGCCGACACGTGTACATTTTGAACTACTATTGTTTTGTGACTTTTTTAGATGCATGTTTGTTTTGAGACTGAAAGTTTTGTTCTAAAAAAGACCTTAACTTTTTTTTTAAATGTTAATTAAAATATTCTGGAAATACAGTACTGTCTAAGTAACCGATTTACCGGGAAAGGGGGGGGGGGTATTAATCATATCGAATGGCAAACATATAAAGTTACGGTGAAGAAAGAATTTTTTTCTCTATAACTATAAACTTAACATATTATAGTAGAATTTTCTTTAACCACACTATCAATTTCATTCGCTCCAAAGATAATAAATTAACAGGATATCCGCACTACTATGTATAACTCTCAGAACTAGTTCTATTATATTTTCTATAGTAATTTGAAAAAAAACGTGTTAGAAATAAATATTTTCGTAATTTTGCTGCGTAATTATTTTACTTGGATAATTATATCACAAACATTTAATTTAACAAAAAAAAAAACAAATTGTTGCAGTGCTTGAAGTATTTGCACATTGCCCTTAGTTAAATTTAATATTTCAGCATCGGTCTACATAGGTACAGAATGTGCTTATAACAACATTTATTTTCCAGAGTAATTTAATAAATAACCTAACAGCTAAGTTAGAATAATAAATATATATATCGTAGATATTTTCCCCCATGAAATAATGATTCTTCAAACACGATATGTTAGTTATTAAATTTAAAAAAAAACCTGTAACTCCTTACCTACAAAAAGATAAGTCCTTTCACTTCGGAGTTCCGAATGACAATCAAAACTGAACGATAGGTGAACGCTGAACGCAAGGTGAACGCAAAGTGAACGGAACGAAGAGCGAACGCTGAACGCTTTGTGAATGGTGAACGCGAGCGCACGGTGAACGCAAAACTGTGAACGGAGAGCGAACGGTGAACGCACGGTGAACGAACGGTGAACGCACGCTGAACGAACGGTGAGCGAACGGAAAAATGGGAAAGTAGAACGTTTCAGGGACTGTAGCATATTTTTTTGCAAATGATGCTCAGAGAGGTCCATATATAGGTGCTTTGATTGGTGGATTGGGAGGGGGGCTAGAAGACATATGTAGCATATTTTTTGCAAATAAAGCTCAGAGAGGTAAAGACAAAATATAAGTTTTAAAGATGAATGTGTAGTTCCTTCCAACAACATGCATCAAGACAGACTTACAAGGTATATCTACCTTAATATTAAAAACGTCCCCAATGACAGCTTTAAACTTAAAGTCTGGATTATCCCATTTCTGTGTCCCATTCTTCTCTATCCTTCCTTTTGACTTCCATTTCTGTGTACCATGTTTGATCACAATTTCAAAAACATCCCCAGGACAGAGTCGTGCAAATCCAGCCATTCCTAAAGAGTAAAACCTCAACACTTTAGTAATGCCAAATGAATGAATTAGGAATCATGCCATTGCTTCTTATTTTTCTTTCCTCGTGAACAAAATACATGTACTGATATTTTTTCTCATGCTTTGATTTGATTGTAATTTGTTACTTGATGGTGGTTACCTTTGAGTTTACAAGAGAAAGTCCCCATCATGGCTTCAAGTTGGGCCTCTATGGAGCACATAGTCTAGAAAACAAAAAAAGATTTTTTTGCTTTTTTTTCATTGTAGAGAGTTACCTCCCTTAACACATCACATCTTCTCTGAACTATGTCTGAACCCAACATTGATTTCATTAAGAAAACAGTTTTCTTCATCAAGGTAAAGAAATACCTTAATGGACGGGTCCATAATCATTTCCAGCAGATCAAAGAGCCTTTGGCCATAAATCTACTTAAAAATTACATGCTTGCTTTGTGCCCTGTTTATTGGCAGTGGTCAGAGAGATTTCATTAATTTAGGCATTTTTCTACTAAAATCTGATACTGCTGTATTTTACCAACGCTAAATCTTTGATCTTTTCATTTTTTTTATTTTATCATTTTTAAACCTTGGACATCAAGGAAGTACCTCATAACAATAGACAGATTTAAATTGAAATACCACGGAAATAAATATTTCTCTTCAAAAAAAACTTTATAATCACTGACAATAAAAGTAGTAAATAAATTTCTTTTCTGTAAAAAACTGGAATAAAATACATGGAAATGAAAAAAACCTGTAACATTTGAATTACCGTACCAGGTACTTTCATTCTACAAACACATATATGTACATTTCTTTTAGGAAAACATCAATAAAAAAAGAAAAATTTATTCCTCATTTTATTCTGCTTTGTCTTCCTTAAAACATTAAAATAATTCAAGTAAATGTCCTATCTGTAATACAAGGCAATGAAAAATTAATTTATGATGTAGTTTTCGAGTGAAATATGGCCCTGAAATGTGACTGTGACACTCTGAATGATATGCTTGTCATTTTTACCGTTTCTTTGAAGCTGTGCTTTACAATAAACAAAAAAATTTGACACAGAATGTCCACCGTGATTTACTACATTAAGATTTTCTAGCTTATAGCAGACAAGAGTACAATGAAACATGACAAGAGGTCCATGTTTTATTGCTATGGTTCTTTTAAAAACTGAAAATCTTTAAAAGAAAACAATGACGGAACTATTGATTCGCTTCCATTGGACCACTACCAATGTCCACTACATATTCAAGCCAAGTTGTACTTAAGTTCCTATCTTCTTAATCAATGATGCAGCATATGATAAAAAATGTGTTGGATATTTTACCTGGGAGCACTCCTTGAGACCATATCGAACTCTCTCCATTGAGTCTTTCTTTCGGTGGGGCGACACAGTGAAAGCTCTCTGCATTGTTCTAGTGCCTGAAAAAATGCAACATAGCTGCATTAGATTCAAAATGTAACTTATAATTCAGAAACATATTTTTTTATGTATATAAAAATAAAGCTTTAATGAAAACTGAGGTATGGGAATTAATGACTACAGAAGACCTAGAGTGAGCACATCTACCATTGTTTTTGAAGTAAATTAACACATGACCCAATCTACTGTGAACTTACCTTCTCTCATTTGTTGCTGAACACGATAATGGTCATGGAGTTCTTCTATCTGTAATTCATCATTTATAAATTAATACAGCATTACATGTACATAGAATGTATCCCCCCCCTCTCTCTCTTTCTTTAGGTATCAATACTACATTATGTAGATATAATGTATATGTATATTTTTTTTTTTTACCTTGGCCAGGTGGAATTCTAATCTCTTCATATACCTCTCAGCAGCTTTGATTTGCTATAGAGAGAAAAAAAAAAGGTAGATTTGAAAATTGGATGGGAAACAAATTATGTTGGAAAACTTAGTCTTAATTTAGAACTTCTGGGTTCTCACATATATCAAGATATTTTTCAAGTCCTCATGAATTTTATACTATTCATAAGACTTTTTTAATCTCTAAATCAAGGGACAGGTACCTTCATTGCTAATGTACTACATTTTATTTTGCTCATACATTATTTTGATTAAAAAAAAGATCACACAATACAAATTGTCAATTTACATATATTGTAGATTAGTTGTCGAATTACATCTGCATGCCAATGTTCATAAATATTCCATAGAGCACAACTGACACAATTTTTTGAAACATTTGTATAAAATATATGACTTGTTTACAGATATGGTATTTGAACAGCCAAGAAGTCTAATATAGATGGAAAAAGTGACATTTCTCCCCCAATTATTTGCCTGTTTAACAAAGAAAGCCATCATTTTTTTATTTTCCCTGCAGGCCTTTGTCAGTTTGAAATTTTAAGGAGTTGCCATATAAAAGTGTAATTTGGATTGAAAAGTAAGGTTGCACTGCTTGTCCCAAAATAATGATAAATAGCCCATCTCCATAAAATTTGGTAGTTAAGTTGAAGTAAAAATTTTCTCTTTGTGTATTGGTATTTGTTTACAGTGAAGATTTAAGATATGGGGACCTTTTGGTTTGAAGTGTTAGAAAAGATACATTAGAAATGCCACACCAATTACTTGTTGTGAAAAGATGGAAATTTTTAAATAATATATCATATTTTCATGAAATTGCAGGGTACTCATTTCTGAGTCACCTTCATGAATCACTGCATGCATTACTGCTTACATGTACTATAACAATACTAACAGGTATCCATTCCTTCCATTTTAGACAAATGTGTGGGAGACATAACAATTAACGAGAGCATGAAATTTACACATTTAATATCAAAATGCAAAAATACAGAAATTTTATGATTTCAATATACATGACCCTTGATTTATAGATCTTATTCAATTAAAATTTATATATAATTCTATGCTGAACTTCATGCCCCTTTTAAATTAAAATACTACAATTTAACCTGGTTAAAAAACAAAGTTAAAATAAACCATCACATACTTAAATCTATAAAGCTTATATAATGATCACTTAAATTATGTTAAGATATAGTGCCTACTTCTAGACCAGTCTGGTTAACATGTACTGTGAAATTGGTCTATATTGATTCCTAATGACGTAGGTTCACATGTCAATCATGTAAGTTTCTCTGAGGGTCTAACGAACTTTCAGTACTTATAAAGCTACCATCACTTATTGATCATTACAGAGTAATAATGCCAACCATCTGCAGGGAAACACTAGTAACAGAAAAACACACCATTCCAACACACAGATGATGTTTTAGCAACACAACTTACGACCAAAACGTAAATAAACAGAAAGTCAGGTGTAACGCAGCAACATTTTCTTTCAAGTTTTTGTACATTGTATCATTTATATGAACAGTATTTTTTGTATATTGCTTAATGATCAATAAAACATTTTCTGGAAATAACTATACCACAATACACAGTGTAAACATTGACACAAAGTGCTATAATTGTCATGCAGATGCACATTTTCAGAATACTTTTACAAAACTCATGCTGGATAAGGGTCTCTTTCCCATTTGTTATTTTTCACAACCACAAAGTTATAAACTTATGGACATATCACCAACACATTGTGTCTAATTACCTTGTCTGTCTCCAATAATCTTCCCTAAAGAGTTCAATTTAATGAAATTTAAAATTCAAAATCATTATGTTAAATGAAAATCAGGATAAAAGGTTCAAAGTAAAAGGTTAGAGATCAATTGTAACAGGCTTTGGGTTGAAGTTTATGACAAATCTCTGTGGAACTTGCAACAATCTAATTTTGATTTTTTTTTTTAAATTTATATATATTTATTTCAAAGCAGCATTTTTATCCATTGAAGCAGTCAATTTGGCCGGTAGCCTGTTCTTAGGGAAAATACTGAAATCTATAGTATTTTGAAAGTAAATTTCCAGCATTATTGTTACAAATGTACACAGGAATTTATAATCATTGTAATTCAAATTTCTGTTGCAATTCATTGGGGAATATTATGCTTCAAACTCTTTAGATTGGCATCATAGGGGAGATAACTCTTGAACCCAAGACAAAAGGTCTGTATAAAGAATGTCAATTTGGACATGGTTTGGTAGAAGTTTAGGTGTTGGATTTGATGTTTTTATGTATAGATGGGATTTTCTTACTTGAGATGTAGTGGTCTGGTCAACAGTTCTGGAATGTAGAGCCTCAATGTCTTCCCTAGTGGCCTGGATAAATTCTCTGTATAAAAAATGAAAACTCTTGAGTAATGACTATACAGAGAATGGCTCTTTAATTAATCACACTGAAAAAATGCTGACATAATATCAGTGCAAATTATCTCTAGAGTTTTAGCGAGGAAGAGTTTGTAAAAATAAACTCTGAAATGAGACCAAAGATTTCTAAACAGATTAGAATAGAATTTTCCTTTTTCATGCAATAATTATTGACACAATTGCTGCACAGTACATTACATATGCACAGATGCAAATAGGGTTTAATTTCTGGACATTCTTTTTTTCTTTAAAACATGTTAAAGACTTCCATTAGATACATGTCTTTATACTGTATACCACTTATAAAAAACAAGTAAAAGCTGTCATAGACAGACATTAATTGCCTCCTTTAAAAAACAACATGATGATGACAAGAAAAATGAAACATTTTCTGCTACACTCTGCTAGACTTGTTTATACAAGCATCTTATTTCAGAAGGAAGAAACCTAGTTTTTTCTACATGACTAATGCTCATTCAAAAAAAATCAAGATCACGCGAACCCAGGAAGATTCTTAGTGAGTCATTCTTCTGCAGTTTTCAGATTTTTAACATATTAAATGATTATAATGACTGAATACATTAATACAATGCACATAATTTATTATAAGCCTCTAAGTAGATGATTTCAGATAACAAGGGATTTTTAATTTCTTTTGGCAATGATGAACTTAAGATGTAGGACTTGCAAACATCTGGGCCATCTGTCCTGCTCAAGGCAAACTTGTACATTGTCAAGGAAAAATATTTGTTTTCCCAACATTAACCCCCCCCCTCCTTTATATTAGCTCAACACTAAAAGAAATCTCAATTCAATATGCCATATTCCACCAGTGGAATTTCAACTTATATAAATATAGTCATACAATTTTTCAACATTTCATGTCATATAGGTGGTAGTGTATATTTAATATAATCTTTCCCATTACATGATGTACGTAGTTTCTGATAACTTTGATACATAACTGAATTAATGTGTAGCCTTCAGTCATCATATTATTATATGTATATGATCTATTTCTAGGACTGTTGCAATTCAATGTTGCATTCCAATGTGGGTTGGCTATTTACAGTTTAATCTAAAATATGTAGGTGACCCCCTTCACGTCAAGATCCAAGGAGCCAGGTATATATTTCACAGTAAACTAGCCATCCCCATAACCTATGAAATCATCTGATGAATTGACAAACCCGTTATTCAGGCATGCCTCTCCAATTTCAAGCTCTTCTTTTTCCACTCCCAAAATTATCTGAACTTTTGATGTTTTTGGTCTAATATCATAAGTGTATCTGCACTTTTGAAGTTTTTGATCTCACATTATATGTCAATACTCTTGAACTTTTCTATGCATTTACCAGGTAAATACAGGTAAGTGTCAATGCTCGTCCACCATCGACACATATTCTGGATTCCGATGTACTTCAAACATACACGAAAGTTTCAGTGTTGGGTCAGAAAAAACACTGGCTCGTTTACTGTTGCTAATTATAAGCCTCCCTCCAGCCATTTGTCACATTCTAAAAGCACATTGTCACCGACCCCATTTCCTGTTAGATTTTAGGATTAATTTGCTGTCTATAAATTTTAGACCTACCACAAAGAAATACATAAATTAAATTAACGGTAATAGTTATTGCTCTATAACATGTTTTCTATTTTGTATATTTTGTACATTTTTTTTTTGATCAACAATATAATGACACACCCGTCATCACATATGCCACTCGATACAACAACAAGAGAAATAGATACGACCTTAATTAAAAACCAATACAGATTAATATAAGTTTAATAACATGATGGAATTCAGGTTAAGTACTGTGTAAATAGATTCATAATTCAATATTGATGTGTATTAGATAACTAGGTAAAATCTACTCTACCTTAATTAATACCCCAGGACTTCCTATTCTTTTGATGTTAAAAGCACTACTATGCAATACGAGACAGCATCAAATATTTGCATAATTTGCAAAACAAATATTTCCCCTTTATTACTACAACCAAATCTCCCAGTGTATTAACCTTTTCAATACATCGTTATGCAACAAAAAACATATCAAAGTTGTTTTGTTACTGCTAGTTGAAAATATTACCATTCCAAAATTCTAAAATATTGACATGCATATTAACTTTAATAAAAGTTTTGGCTTTCAAATCTTGATGTTAAAATTTTTAATATTTGCAATATAATTCAAGCCTTAACAGACAAATTCAGCTGAAATTTTGTTTGGCATACAGAGATACACCCAATCAATATATCAGTGTTCATTTCATACCTTATTCCATTTTTAACACTCTCAAACATCAGTAGAGTCCGGTTTGGTCTTGGCACTTTTGGCATCTTTGGTGATTTCCGGAAGCTGATGCCGGGACTGGACTTGGAGGTAGAGGTGTTTTTATGGAGGCTCCATTGTCCCCGGGCACGGAACGTCTCCCCTAGAACAGGTGCCCCAGAGGGGGTATGCTGCATGTCGTGGTGGGCCTTCATGACTAGACCACCCCCAAATGAGTGACTTCTTAGGACAGGCGTTGATTTACTAATGTGTGTGATGTGCTCCAATTGAACATGGTTATCCAACTGGAAGGGATCTTTTCTGGTCATAGGAACTGTAATGGAATGAAAAAGTCTTACTCATTGCAGTGTCTAGTTACATCATCTGATAAAAATCATATCAGATGCTGTCTATGCAGCTAGCCTATCCTGATAAAATTTCTCTGCCGGTACCAATCTACTGAATGTGATGCATTTTCTGTTTTGGGAATTATTTCTGCTTATAGTTTCAATTGAACTTACCGTAAATTACTGTATCAATGACCAACCCTCTTGGCCTGAGTGAATAAAATTTTGCACTTGAGGTAGAATTGAAACAATTAATCTTTAAAATATCATACGCTGATTTATCAAGATCAATAGAGACCTTTTCATTAGTTCCTGCTGTGTATTGAAGCAAAAGGGGTAACGTGCATCAATATAGTCAATCAATATTTCATGCATATGTCTGCAGCTATTATCTCTATAATGAAATAAATCCACAAATACTCATCTGTCATTTCTATGTGATTGCACCAACATTCAACCTCTGATATCGCAGAAAAAAAGAATCATTAAAAAAATCAGCAGTCATTGTAAACAGACATAAAGAAGAGTTCTTATATCGGACCTGAACAACCCCTTTTCCTTTGTCGATAATCCCATTATCTGTGGATCAACTCAGAGATTATCACGTCACTGAAATCCAACATGCATGTTTCACATTCTAGTTACACAGTAAGTATAACTTCAACAGCGCAATACCCCTATGTCACTATCAGAGGATGGAAACAAATAGTGATAAAAAAAGAGATTAAAGTTAACACAGGTCTTTGTCAGAGACTCTGCTGATAACAATCATAAACAATCCTCACATCTTCCTTATCCTTTCACAGATAACGAAGAACTCAAAATTCCCAGGTAGTTCACAAGTTAATGGTGTCAAAACTTAAGAAATACACATACAAGCAAATCTATTGAAGACTATTGACCAAATCTATTGCCAGCTCCATTAAATGGAAAATGTCCCATATTCTCTGATTTCATTTGAATGTTACAGTTTAATGTTGCTAAAAGAATATCATTTTATTCCATATTCATCAATACATCTGTTTTGATATAAACATGTTAAATGAAGATGGTAATTTTCATGAAGCTCTACTGAAAGTTTATCAAGTGAAAACACAAAAAAATCAACCGAAACATGGAAATCTCCTTCTCTAAATGCTGGAACAAAAGCATTAAGGTTTAGAATTAGAAACAGGATCAGATATCAGAAACTATACAACATTGCACGATTTAATCAATAGAAAAAAAATTTCCTATCATTAAAAAAAACATAGAAAACAGTTACCATGGAGATTTTTGCTTCATTCTATCATTTGCTGTACCAATAATTTTCTCAAGTTTTCTAGGTCAATGAAATTAACTGATTCAGAAACTGCTCTATGGCAGACAAAAAGTAGATCTATAAAGAGAGAAAAAGCACAGTAAGGGCCTTATGTAATTTTAAACTAACAATATTTCATTGTACATTACATAAAAAAAACTCAAGAGTAGAACAATTAAATTATGACAAAAAAATGTCACACTAGCTAAATTTGTTACACCCTTAAACTGTTGAAACAGCATGTTTTGTATTCTTACCATGATTCTCAACATGAATTAAAAAAAAATATCCTGATGAAACAGCTTTTCTACATCAGTAGTTAATCTACAACAATAATGAACCATGAATAAATAAAACTTCTGACATCCACAAGAGGTTTTTATATCTCAATATTTCGATTACGACGTACGTACTCCACCCAAAGTGAGGTAGTTATGAACTGAAAACCGACACTCGAAAAATAGCAGAATGAGTCCTTCCTTATGAAAAAGTACAACAATACACGCCAATTAGATCTATACTCTGAATGCGATTATACCACATCAGGCATATATTACACATACTTCGTAGTAAAAACTCTCTATTGATCCAGCTGACGTGAGTTTCATTCTTACCTTAAAATAACGATTGAAGATCGAGTGACTAACATCATTTTGTTCAATGGACGGCTATCCTTTTCACCCAATGTAAACTATGATTGATCCCACAGATAAACAATTACACAGGTATCAACAAAGTTTTAATCTGCCATTGTTCCTGACAGTGAAGGAGGCGTGACTCTATTTATATATCAACAATCAATATAGTCACATTATCTTCTCTTCTCTCTCCAACTGCTCTAGTTTAAAAACAATACTGCAGAGGTTAGCATCATAATGAGGAATAAAACTCAAGAGAGAAAATGTTCCAATTGTTTTCACTCTACAAAGAAGAGTTTCAAGATAATCACAAAATAATAAAACTTCTGTGGGGTTGTCTTATGATGTACAACTACACTATGAGCCAATTTAATGTAAAACTCCTAAACACGTGGCTCATTAGAACTAACAAGTCTTCTCGAAAGACGTGGTAATTCACACATAATACATGTCTATATCAGTGCTCTGATCCATTACAAAAACCTTCAATTCAGAGGAATTATCAAGAAACAACACTCGACTTTGAATTGATCACTTCCGATGGCTAGAAACAGTCTAAAGCATGGAAGAAAACATGCCAGTCTGCAATGACTTTACATCAACGGCATTCAACAAGTTAGTTATATTAGCCTAGCAGCTATAAACTCGTGACATTTCCTCTGATCTCCATAAAATACACACTTTACTGCCAATGTCCCTCTCTCCAGATGCTAGCTGGGCTAACAGCTAGTCATACTTCCTACAAAAAACTATTTTCTGGTGTGTTTTTGTTTTAAATGAGATTTTAGAGAGTCAGCCTGCATCACTCTGTTGGATAAAACTGTGGGTTACCAAGGGGATTTTTTTTTAATTAAATGCTGATAATAATTTTTTTTTAATTCTTAAACCAGAAAATAATTTGTTTTCAAGATATAATGTACAATTATAATATATAATGTAAAATTAATAAAAACCTAAATGTGAATAATATTTTACTGGTATGTAAAAAGGATTTTTTTTATCACTGAGGTAATCATTTCTGAAAAACCCTCAATTTACCTCAACCAAGCTAAAACTATTAAATCTAGCCTAAGATTAATGGGCCAATGTCATTATACTAGGAGATCAAGTGACAAGGCCAACCCAGAGAGAGAAGGATCCAAGATTTTGACCAAATGAAAATTCACTTCACAAGAATATTTTCTTCTTAGTTTATAATAAAGCAAGAAAATACCAATATTGTCATGCATACACAATGGAGTCAAACACGTCATTAGATAATTAATGTCTTCTCTTTACGTTACCTCAGTAACATATAAATTATTCATTAGTCTGGTCAAAATATGTACTTTGTGAAACTATATGGAGATGATGTTTTTAAATAAAAAATCTTATTAAAGCCTCATATACCTCAAAAGTACAGATCAGATATAAGGATGAATTGACATGATCATCATATTTTATCTCTAGCTAATTAGCTATATGATGCAAAAATTTCTTCACAACTAAAACATGAACATAACATGAAATATTCTTTGTCATCAGCTTACAAACACTATAATAAAAGACTATACATACCCACAATAATTTTCCTGGTAGAAATTTTAGAACTTAATACAGTCATCCTCCAAATTTCCTTAGAAGTCACCCAGACATTAAATAATTCTCCTTAATTTCTCCTTAATTAATCTAATCACATTCCAGACAATACACCGTAGAGTATAAAATGTACAACATTTAGCTAACTGCATACATGGACAAAGTGAGTAGTTGCCTGGAGACATTATAATTGAAACAAGTGATCAGTAGATTTTTATCTGCCATAAAAACTGCTTTGAAGTTGGTCATTGTTGGATTACATACTATAACAATTATAACCTGTCATAATGACATGACCATGCACATATAAACATCTAGATAACGATCACTACATTTGTATGTCTTTGAGGGAAATACTGCTTTATTGGACAAAAACAAAAAAAAAGTTAATTGAGTGACAATGGTCTGTCAATTATAGAAATCACTCAGTTGGCTAATTGGTCACTTTTACATTAATTAAATTAATGAATTCAAGGTTGATCATGAAAATTCCTTTCAGATGCAGTATCTTGAAAACTAGTTCCTACTGAAAGTCAAAGAAAGCATAAAAGGAATTATTTTCATTAAAGATCAGACTAAAAAAATTAGAAAAATGAAGGTAATATATATCCTACATTGATATTTCAGTGTTCCATTGGGATTTCTCCAGATGTCCACCAGCCTCGGAGTCCCGAAATCCTCCTCCTCTATCCCTCCAAGTCCAATATGTAGAAACTTCATTGTAAAATTATATGTTTCCAGATTCCCATACATGTACACCAGAATTTACCAACACCTCATAAAAATCCAAATTTTGCAAAATTCATTTTTTTTCCCTATAATTACTCTATCCTTCCACACATTCTAGTTTCTTCTCTAACAATTTTGTTGTTTGCACATGACAAGAATACCTGTCCTAATCAATTCTGCATACATGCATTTGGTGATGTTTTTGTTGGTGTGTATAAAATTTAACATCCAGCTTCCATGAGGACCATTACACTTGGCAGACAATGGGCCTTGTGACAGTTTAATGCTTCTGACCAACAATTACCTTTCCCTTAAAACAATGTGTCTTCTTTCATCTCAGATATAAATCTGAACATGATGTCTACATCTCTGGCTTTTTATAGAAATAAAACTAATTTTAGCTAGAAAACAACAACACAATCAATGCCCTAGACAAACAAATTTGACCGATTTGATACAGACTTAGCGAGTGAGAATTGTCAACATTGCTTACACCAATTATGCTTGAAAAATTATGCAACAGTATTTACTCCTGGGATAGTATATGAGTAGATACAAATATCTCATTCTTATACAAGGTTAAGAGCAAGAAAACAAAGTACTCAAGTTCAAACTCCACTGGTCAACTTTTTATTGACAAGCTAAAAAACAGTAAACAAAATTCAATAGAGATAGGCATCTTGCTGATTTGAATTATATATCCCTGAATTATCCATTAGGCACTCAAGAATGCCAACCCAACAAAGACCAGCTAGACTGCTATTAAGCTCTGGTTCTGTCTAAATTCAGTTTTGAAAAATTGAATTTTTTTTAAACCATTTAATAATACTTAAATCTGAGCTAATCTAACAATAAGAGAATTTTGACAATTTTGGTGATAACTTAAAAAGCATTTATAATCATTATAACCTTTACTTTGTCAGTCCATTGACAGTTTTTAACTCAAGAATTATGCATGAAAATTCCAAAAAATTCTAATTAATGATTTACCATTGGAATAAAATTTACATATTTTAATTTCAAGAGTATGTGTTTGAAACAAAAATAGCAATCTTATGAAACAAATGAATATGAATACATGACCCCAGGAGCATATTCTATTCATTTCATATTCTCATATGCACACCTGCACAGTACAAGTAGCCCCTGCTTCCTAACCATACATTATTGATGTTGCCTTGAGGTTAATGGCTCCCACTGGGATACAATTAATTAGTCCAAATGTTGGCCAACAGATTTAATGACCTTGATACCTGTCAAACGATGAACCAAGAGGAAAACTTTTCAGTAAGCAGCGGCCAATGCCACAGCGCAAGGAACAATTTAGCAACTGAACCCCAAAATAAACAGTTTTCTCATTCTTATGTCAACAGCATGGTCCACCAACCATCAAAGGATGCAAGTGTCAGCATTTACTGCAGAAAGCCACTGACGGAGAAGACAACAACCACAACTGGTCAACAACCTCCATAGAATCGAGTAGAGCCATTGAACAATCCATAGAACAAAATCATTGATAAACACAAGATACAACCAAAATCCATCTCTCAGTGTCAAAACTGTTTCCAAGGTGAGGCTAAAGGTTAAAGACAAGGCAGAGTTCTGCAACAACCCAGTATTTCCAAAGACGACAGCACCTGTGATAGGTTTGATATTTCAAGGACATATATCACTGTGATAAATTACAAAATGCATGCTAATTTTATTGACAAAAGTTTGCAATTATATTAAATGCAAAAACTTTTGATGAAGACTAATGACATCTTTTAACCCCCACATATTTCTGATACTTTAGCATCATGCAGACATGCCTTCACTGATATGAAATTGCATAATGCCAAATAAACTGGTAAATGGCAGATGCATGTTTTTTCCCTACAGTTTGTAAAACAACATAGACAAGAAATAAGAGTGATGTACTAACAAGATGTTTTGCACCATAAAACTGTCCCCCACGTCTGACTTGACCATTCATCATGGAGACAGGGCAGCCCGCAAGAGTGACCACAGCCAGCTTAGCACAGATTTCAATATATTCAATAAAAACTTAACAACATGGCACTTTACTATTTGCATGAATATATCTTTTACAAAGGTGAAAGACATATGGCTTTATGAATTTTCTCTTCCATTTGCATTTTAATTTTTTTTTTATCTGAAACTAAAACATGAACATTTCTCTCTGTACATACAGCATCTGGTGTGCATGGCTTTTAATATTCAAGCGTCTGATCAGAGTAATTTTCTGCACCAAATGCTCAATTTGATTTCATATGCGAGATAAAGAGTTTAAGTTTTTAGTCAAGATCTGACTTGCTAAGAAATTTTTCTCAGCTTAAAGGTCAAGTGATTTCTGGTTAAGTAGCTGATGGTGTTAAGAAGCTTGTGAAACTATCGTTAAGTGGAATCAATGAAAAATAGCATCAATTTGAAAAGAGCAATACTTTTTTTTTCAACAAACATATTTTGTCCCATGAAGTATAAACTTCATAGATATCAGATGTAAATATCACACAATATAAAATTTCCTACCTGGATGCAATATTTTTCAGAACAATAAATGCCAAACTCGATACAAATATTATCATAAAACAACATCTGTTGCTACGGCATCTGCCCAGGTGTGAATGAATGCAAGTACACCTACGATATTATATGCAGCAATGTAGAATTCATTGTGCAAGTTCTTTCATTAATGTATGAATAACTGGCTATGCAAATAAACATGATCTCCCCCACATTTTCTTGGCAATGTCTAATTCAAGGTACCATTTCATTTTCTTCCATAATTAATTAATGAAGGAAAAATATTCATTAAGAAATTCAACAAAAACATTACACATCTCCTAAATAATAACATTCCTGCTTACCTTCTCCTTAGACATCATACATGTGCATGTTCTCCACAAATATAAAATCTTTACCATCTAGAGATTTTGAAATAGGAAGTTTTTATTTTGATTAAATTGATACAGAGCAGAGAGCAAGATCAGGAGTTGTGTTTCTAAGTATTAAAGCATACAGACAGGATTAAAGCAACATTTTAACCACAGTCAACGATGAGCAAACAGTTCAGATCTGTTGCCTCCTTACATCACCACACCCATACATAAAACAGCAGGCAAACTTATTGTGAACTTGTAGATTTTTTCTTTTTTTCTCTCTTATTTTTTTTTTTCACATGCCACTCTGTTGTAAAAGATAATTTGTGCTTATTTTTTGTGCTATCCAATCATTACAAAAATTCTCAATGTTTCTCTTCCCTTTTTTTCAAATGAGTGAAATATTAAAGTGACTTCAGTCTGCAAAATGTTTTAAGTTGGGAAAACTCTGTAAAGTTTAATGAGTTAATTAATAGACATCCATTTACTCAAACAGTTAATTTCACAAAAATATATGTGATTGAAGTACAGTAAATGATCAAGTCATTTTATGAAACAAACTCTTACATTTCTGACTTTAAAGAGGGATATCATGCAAGCTCAGGATGAAATAATTTTTAATATGCCCTGAACTTGAAAAAACAAACAAACAAAAAACAAAAAACTCCCAAGAACTTAAGCTGACCACCTAAACAAGACAGATTTGCCTGGGAGCTAGATCACATGCAATTAATGTACTCTTTCTCACTTAGATCTTAACTGTTAACTATCAAATTTCGGGGGGGGGGGGGGGGGGGGATAAAAAAAACAAAAAAAAAACAAATTAACAAACAACAAAAAAACAAAAACAAACAAAACCATGCAAAAACAAGAAGCACACGTACTACCCAGCTGAAGTTCTAGCATAAGTCTATGCATTTTTTTTTTAACAAAGCCCCTTTTTATATTAGCAAGAACAATTAGATAAAGATACCATTGGAAAACGTCAAACTGCATGGAATAGAATGTCAATAAATCAAGTTATGGAATGAAAATGCATCTCCCCAAACTATTTCTGTCCCAATCACCATTCCAATTGACACTGATTCCTCACTGTTGGAGATTTTTCTATTTTTACATTAGCCTGCGAGTTCTTTACGTTAGGGATATGTTTCTATTTTGACTTTGGGAGATATAACTGTATGGTAACATTCTATCACATATCGTACAATTGCAAGATCTCTAACCTCCATGATGTCAGACCAACAGAAACACTATTGATTGGAGCTGTCTATAATATTCATCTATTAGCTTTTCTAAAGTTACGTCCCTTAATTGGTTTCCATCTTTGGGAGAAAATAATTCTCACAGAAGCCTTTCTGCTTTGGAACACTTTCATTTTTAAGGTTTATAAACCCTCTGCTCACTCATATAAAATCTTTTTTTAACTCTTATGATTTTCCAAAAGAAATGTAATTGTTAAGTAAAATACAAACAATTGTATCATGGCTTGCGGGGCAAAATTGAACAAAACAGAAACTTCAACTTGACAAAACTTACAAAGGAATATTAAACATTTATGTCCTTAAGAGTTATCTCTCTTATCAGAGTATTGATGAACCTTAAACACAGAAATGTCATTTGTTTTTTGATTACCCCAGGATGGGGGCTACTCATACAATGAAAGATAATTTGTTAAAACACTGAATTTATCACAGCCAGTGTACCCAAATGTTTGGTAAAGAAAAGAAACATTCTTTTCCCATTTTGACCCCACAAAGGGATACAACTCAGTTTATCTTCCACAAAGTTTTGATTGAACAATTACGAGGGCTGTTCAAAAATTATGCAGACTTGTGGCAATAGAAAAAATATTTGATGACATACCGGTGTAGCATAATATTTTCCAGTAATCAAGCAAAAAGTCACACGTAATATAAAAGAATCTTTTAAATTATATGGTCCTCAAAATTCCATACCAAAATGATTTTAATGAGATATGGTTATTGACAAAATAGTACATGTAATTACATGTACACTATAATTGCTTTCACCAAAATTAATTGTATGCCAAGTCAAAATTTTTCGTTTAATATTTGATTTTGCACACGAAGGCTAAATGTCCTACACTGCAAACCCTCCAGTTGAACTTTGGTTATCTCAAACACTTATATCTCAGATACCATGGATATGTAGAAGTGATTTGGAAGTCCCTAACCACTTATTCTCTAAGTATTTTACCCCTGACTATCTCAAATACTGAAATATCTCTCAGATTTTTCTTGGTCCCATCCAGTTCAAGATATTGACGTTTGACTGTATAATGATATAAATTTAGTCATACACATACCTTTTGTCCGCCCTATTCCCAGAAAACTGGCATGTCTTGAAACTTTTTTGTCATCATTTCCTGCAAGAAGGAAGATTTTTTAAAGAAAAAAAATTTTAATACATGACATTGTACTCTAAAAAGGGAAATAACTCTTCATAAAATTGAGAGCATCAGAAACCCTCTGCTTCAAATCATATTCTCTTGTGTTCAATTCATAGACCTAGAATTTAATTTAGATCTAACTTAACTTCCTTGTCTTAAAAAAAAGATAATTCTTTTAATTCAAACGTGTATCAATTGTTATAAAAAATCAAAAATCTTTGAATGACCAAGTTAGAGTAAAACTTGTCATAAAACAAACTTAGTCCACAAAATTAAAACATGCTTAGCCCAGCCCTATTCATAAAACAGTCATAAATTATTAAACTGGGTAAAGAAGAATTAAATCAATCTTAGGACCCCCTCTGACCTTCAAAATTATTTTCACTATCACTCTGACCTAAAATAAGAATTCTAGTGTTAACCTGTCCACCCAACATTTATCTGTGGCCATGCATCATAAATATTTTTCAATACATGCGTAAACAGAAATCAGAAAGAAAAAAAGATATTGCAGTTCAAATTGACTGGTACAAGCATGCACATGTGTATCAATTTGAATATTTTATTTTTGTAATCATTTACAAAATGTTTTAATTAGTTCCCTCTGGGTTTTTTTTTTTTTTTTTTTTTTTTTTTTTGTCTCAAAATTTGCATAATTTTTCTATACCAAATTTAGATCACAAGAGTACATTTCCAGATCAAATAAGATTTTAATTCTTTTTTATGCATTGATTAGAGTCTATTTTTGTCACTGATATTTTTAATGAAAATTAATTCTAAACCCTACTCTGCTTCAGTATCAAAATTCTTTAAAGCATATGTTCCTAATCTGAATATTCCAGTGAACATTTTTTTTCCCTAAAAATGTCACCTGTTTCATTACAAATCCAATACAATTTTTTTTTTTATTATTGAATCATGGTTAAATTATCTCAAAATTGGAAAATTTTGAGAAATAATGACATGAAAAAAATTTTGACTTAAAATTGATCTAATTTTTGTCTTACCTCTACGTTTGACCACTGGTTTATTGGACACGTTTTGACCCATTGAAAACGTCACCGATCTTTTGACCCCTTTGAAAATTTGCAGCCGGTTTTGTTTGACCAGAGGTGAATTATACTCCATGATGTTACGATGCTCGGTCCTGTGACACTAACTTTTTAAATTCCCTATGAAAATAAAAATCCAGCACCTGTTTACATAACCTCACGATCGAAAGGTCAGGAGCCAAGATACAACATCCCTCCTAAAGTAACAACTTATAACAACATTCTCCAAAGCAGGTCTTGTCTTAAAGATTCAAACTCTAAATATGTTCTTAAGGTGTGTTAACAGAATTCATATGCTGAGGTAATACATCATTTAATGGAATAAGCTTCTTGGGCAATCCATCAACAATTTAAATCCCTCTTTATTTTGACCCAGCTGATGATCAGAGCTATATGTACCAATAGACACATAATGACTGCAAAAAAGAAAAAGCCCTCAAGAACAGCTTGTGCAGATCTATATTCCTAATGCCTTTGATTAAAGCGATGATTGATCCTTTCACTCATTATTCACCAGACTGCCAAAAACCAGTCAAAACACCTTAAGTGATGTGTTACATAGGAAAATCATACCAAGCCTTACAGACAGACATACAGGTAAACTACAGAGGCTGTGCTGATAGCAATATATTTCAAATCACTCTCAACTGTCCCCCCTTGTAACAGCTGTTATAGATCTCCATTGTTTTTCCCCTACCTACTTTGAACTCGATACTTGATGAAGGATCTGTTTGATCTTACCTGAACCTGTATGGTTAATCATTTTCATTCTAAGCTCATTTCTGTATTCTTAATCAACATTAACAAAACAGATGTTCCAAGATATACAAAACTCTCCCAAATCTTAATTCAAAAAAAGAAAAGAATTCTCCAAACTGAAAAAGGTTCTCAGTGAAAAAATCAAAGGATAAATGAGTACATGTATATAAAACACAAAACTCTTCCAAATCTTAAAATTTTAAAAAGATATATATTTAAATTTTTCAAAGATTCTCAGAGTTCATAAATCAAAGGATAAATCAGTAAATCTGTTACTAGTACAGGCTACCTGTTAATGATATCTCCACTGATCAAATTTTTAACTTATCAAACAGATCATAAAAATCCAGAAATAGTCAAACACAGGAATCCCACAGCTTCTCCGTAATAAACCCTGTATCTAAATCCCTTTGTAATCAGTCGGAATCCTTTCTTCAGGATATTAATCTCCGATCTTTTCAGCCAATGATCCTGTACGTTCCCTTAAATCTGTTTTTTCAAGAAAAATATTTTAAGTTAATTAAAAATTGTTCACCCACTAGGAATTTTTTTTTTTTTGCTAACGTAACCACTGTTCCACCTGTTATACAATGAAATCACTTTGGCGAGAAGCATTAAGTCTTTGGTACTTAAAACCTTGTTTCTGTGGCAGGATGGGGGAAGATCGGGGTGATTCACTGTAGCACTGTCGATTTAATCAGATCACAACAATAATAAACAGCCCATTGGAAGTTATCACTGTGAACCAAAGGTGAATAAATATTGCTCATATAATTTAAGGCCACGTTAACCAGGTGAAAATGAGGGAGACACAATGGGGAACTAGAGGTCAAAGGTTAATAGAATTCCACTCACTCTATCAAACAGCTGATTTAAAGTAATGACGACCTGAAAAGAATTATGTGTTTTCTGCTTTTTGAGATGATATAGTGTAAGAGAGGCTTGAACTGCTAGTGTTTGAGATTTATTTTAATATGTAAATTCATTTTTTTTTGGTCTCCTTTGTTGAAAAAGTATTCTAAAAATTGAATTAAAAAGGGAGTTTAAGTTATAATACTTCCAAAAGTAACTGTTCTACCTGTAATAGAACATTAAGACACACTCAACTGATAAAATACCAATTGGAAAGCTTTTTTTCAGAATGATATGCTTCTAATAATGAACTGAGCCATATCTTACATTTCCCCTAGAAGTCATGGTCTTGAGTTTTACATTTTTGTAATCTGATACATCACTCAGACAATAATTTCTAAGAAATTATCCTCTTCTACAAGTATTTTCCTTGTAAAGACATTTCAGATTTTTTTTTATTTAAACTAAATAGGAGTCTGATACAAGAATGTTTTCAGGGGTGAATTGTTTAAAGTGGGCATTTTATAGTTCAAGAAAATGAATTGACAGAAACCATTTGAATAGTAAAGAATTGTTGCTCCGTATTTTCCTTTGCCGTGTCAAACCTAAGATGTAAGCACTTACTGTGACTGTTCCTAATTTGCCCAGTGCCCAGCACTAGAAGTGAAGGTCATGGGTGTTCCAGATGAGACCTTAAAAACTGAGGTCATATGTCATGGTAGAAGTTGGCACGATAAAAAACCCTCACTGCTCAACGACACTGAGTGCCAAGTATAGGTCTAAATAAATTTAAGCCCTTCACTGGTATTAGAGTGATGTCTATAAGAGTGAAAAATTCTTGAATGGGACAATCAATCTATCATTCTTTTGTTTCACTTCAAAAATGATTATGTATAGAGATTTTGGTTTCGTTTAAAATAATGAGATATGTATGTCCTTTAAATTTATGATTTGTGAAATCTTAAATGTTGCAATTATTTCTAATGATGATTACATTCAATTGAAAATAAGCAAGAAACAATGTTGTGTGCACTGTATGACATTTCTTTGTACAGTTTTGACTTTGTGTTTACTGAGTATACTTTCTACTGTAAAGAATAAAAAAAACATATCATTGATACTGCAACCTGTCACTGATGCCATTGATGTTCTTACAAAACACTTCTCTAAAATTTAAAATTCAGAACAAATATTTACAGTCAGTTCAAGTATCAGTCCACGAGAAATATAAGCCTTCAAAGGAAAGACCCAATTGATTTTATATTTTCACACTTACAATATATAAGAAGTCTATATTATTTTTATGCAATGTCTGATCATGAAATCATTGTCAAAATAAGACTCTGGAACTATGACTTTATGATGAAATTGATTCAAACTTACTTAACTTGTTGACCATGATGCACAGGGTAAATAAAGGTTGTTACAATTTTGACTCAAGGTCATACCTCAAGGTCAAGGTCAATCAGTTTTTTTTTCATTGTGTCAGGTGTATATAAGGTCTCTCTGTTACCTTAAGCTGGAATGGATTTGAGCTTTAGTAAGTTGTTGCATTTTACTTTGTGATGCATCATAATTTTGACTCAAGGTCATATCTCAATTGTCAAGGCCACTGGATAATATAATACTTATATTTTGTAAAACTCAGACTGAATGGATTCAAACTTTAACATCTTCATATGAAATAGCAAAAAGCCTCTCGTGAAATCTTGATTTCATTTAAAGAGCCCCTCTATGCATACACTGCACACTAAAGAGTTCTGATTCTGTAGTATTTTGATGCAATTAGAGTAATCTGCCCTTGGATCTTATATGAAATAAATTGAAATCTACTGAGTAACACTCAATTTCTAATAAATTCAAGCATTCTTAGCATTTTGAAAGATCAAGATAAATTGATTGAACACTTTATTTGGATACATTCTCTCTACTAAACTAAATGACTACAATTTCTGTTCGGTAATGCCTCATTGTCTTTGAACATTTTTCCTTGGCCTAAATGCCACATACCCGGTGTTGAAAATGAAAAAGATAAGTTCAATAGTTACACCTTTATACTCCAATGTTTATTAGCACTGTATGATACTTCACTTTTATTATAATATTTGCTTTATATTTATTGTATACTTTCTAAATACTAAAACATATCATTGACACTGCAACCTGTCATTGATGTCATTGATGTTTTTACAAAACACTTCTCTGAAATTTAAAAATTCTGAACAAATATTTACAGTTAGCTCAAGTATCAGTCCAGGAGAAATATAAGCCTTCAAAGGAAAGACCATTATGATTTTATGTTTTCGTACTTACAAAATATAGGAAGTCTATAATATTTTTATGTCTACTCCTGTTTCTATCATGAAAATTAGACTTTGGAACTATGACTTTATGATGAAATTGATTCAACTTTACTTATTAAACCTGACTTGACCATGATGTAAAGGGTAAAGGTTGTTACAATCTCAAGGTCATACCTCAAGTTCAAGGTCAATCTGTTTTTTTTGTTCGTTGTTTCCAGTATATATATATATATATATATATATATATATATATATATATATATATATATATATATATAGGCTGGAATGGACTCATGCTTTAGTAATTGCTACATTTAATTTTTTGATACATCACAATACTGACTCAAGGTCATATCTCAAATGTCAAGGCCACTTGATAGTTTGTTTGGTGTTTAACATCCCTCTTGAGAATTTTTCACTCATATGGAGACACCACCACTTGCCAGTGGAGAGCTTACTCCGTGACTCTTAGAGCAGATACTCTACCACTGCACCATGTAGGTTATATTTTGTTTAAAACTTTGACTGAATAGATTCAAACTTTAGCATGTTGTGTCCTTCACCAAATATCCAAACCATTGACCTAGACAACAGATATTACAAAGGTCAAAGTCACAGAGAAATCCTCGTGTTCATATTTGTAATTAGTCATGTAATTAAGGTCTTCCATTCCAACGGAAGACCTTCTACTGATTCTGATGGTTAAGATTATTATTCTTTTTTTTTTCTTCTTTTTCCTAGACGCCAACTTTGAGACCTCATATCTCGCTCATTTCTCAACGGATTTTGCTCAAATTTGCAGAGTTTATAGACGTTACAAAACTCTATCAGAATGCTGGCAAACAGTTCAAAAAGTCACTTCCGCTTTTGAGTTATTTCCCTTTAAATGAAAATTTAGGAGGCTTCAATTCCAGACAAAGGCTCCGAGACTACAAAAGCTGGAGCAGAAATTCTACCGAATTTAAATAATAGAAGGATTGAAGTTGTGCACATCGGTTTTTGTTTTTCGATTTCGGTATTCAAAATGGCACTATAGAGGGGTCAAAAATTAGAACGCCTTAAAGAGCGAAAATTTAGACATATTTTCCTTTGTATCTTTAAAACTAAAAATATTTTGATAAAACATGTAGAATAAAAGTTGTGCACAATTTCAAGGCCTTTCATTTGACACCACTAAAAAGGGGCTGGCCCCTCAAATTAGGGATCTAGAGCCCTAAAATTTTTTGCTTTATAACTCAAAAAAGGTAAATATTTCGAAATGGCTGTCATAAAAAAAGTTGTTCTTTAACATCTTATTGATCTCATGAAAATGTTGTTTTGTTCGAGTCTTGTGTTTTAAATGCGCCAGAAGCTTGACCCATATACAGGTAACTGTTCTCATTCAGCAAGTAAACGAGAGCTCTTCATCCGTGTAACTAAAATAAACTTACTATAAATAATAAATCTGGCTACATTAGATGCTAATATTCTTTAGAATAAGGTTCTTGAAGTGTTTTGTGCTTTATTTCCAAGTTATTTTTTGACAACTTTTCCTTTTATTTCATTTTTTTCAAAGTCGAATAAACCAGTCTACTTAAAAAAAAGTGAAAAAGATAACCTTTTCTTCTTATCATATAAAAACAAACACTATAGTGAGAAAATAAAACATAACTTTGAAGCATAGACTATTCACAGCCATTAAGTGCACGCCTTTTACATTCACCTTGTGTGTTTACAATTATGTAACACCTCCCTCGATAGCACGTGGCAAAGGAGGTCATTGGGGATCAATCGGCGTGTGATCCAGTGACCTAGTCATACACAAAACAAATCATAGAATGGCCATTCCAAATTCATTTTGTAAACTAAGTCGTGAGTGGATAAATATGTTGAATCTTTCAGATTATTTCATATTATCTTTGATTAAATCGCTAGTGCATTTTATTTAATATTTTATTCGCTGAATTACAGGAAAGTTGCATAGTTATTTTTATAAACAATTTATTTCTCAATATTGAGGTAATTGTCTGTTTTATTTAAAATAAAATTCAAAATATGTTACCTTAATTAATTCCTACTAGTAATGGAACTTTTGAAACTTAAATATACATGTATGTTATCTAATATACGTTCTTTTGTTGACACCCTTAAAATGTACAACTGTATATATACATTTGCAAGAGCGCCCCAAATATACGCATATCGAGCGTTTTATAAGTATACATGGAAATACAAAATCCCACATTCACACGCGCCTCCAAAATATGTAGAATGAGACATACATGCGTAACTGTATTTGAATATTACAAATTTATTAGACACCTAACCTTGAACAAATTATTTTTTCTACTAAACCTGTTATTGTATGCGAACAAAATGATA